TCACTTGTTGACAAAATGACAACTATCAGAATCTTATTGGCTACTGATGCCTCAAAACATTGGCAATTGATTGAGATAGATGTTCATAATGCCTTCCTCCATGGTGACCTTGTTGAGGAGATTTACACAACACCCCTCCTGGATTAATTATATTTGTTCCTCATCATGTTTGCAAACTACAAAAATCATTATATGGTTTAAAACGGGCCAACATATAATGGTTTACTAAGTTATCCAAATTACTCCTCTCTTTCCAATACAAGCAATCTTCTTCAGATCACTCATTTTTCACCAAGTTAGATGGTCAAAAGTCCACCATTTTACTCATATATGTTAATGATTTAACTATCTCTGGGAATGACCTTGATGAAATTCAAATTTTAAAAATAAACCTTTACACCAACTTCAAGATTAAGGACCTTGGAAATCTCCAATTCTTCCTAGGCATTAAGCTAGTTCGTTCTTCTCTTAGCAATTATATTTGTCAAAGAAAACATGCTTTCAAATTGCTCCATGACACAAGTCTTCTTATTGCAAAACACACTCATACTCCAATGAAAAAAATCACACAAGTAAACTGATTTTGATGATTCTCCCCCCACTGATCATACTACTTACAGGTGACTCATTGGTAAGTTGAAATACTTATGCACCACCATACATGATTTAAGTTTCTCTGCTCAATAACTCAACCAAATCATGTCATCACCTATAACTTCTCATCTGCAAGTCGCTTATAAAGTCCTCAAATACATCAAGCAATCTCCTTCTCAAGACTTATTCTTTTCTTCTAATTCCACAATTCAACTCAAAGCCTTTAGTGATTCAGATTGGGCATCCTGCAGTGACACTAGACGATCCATCATTGGGTTTTTCATCTTTTGGGTGACTCACTCATCTCTTGAAGTCCAAAAAGCATATCACACTCTTTAGATCCTCTTCTGAGGCTGAATACAAATTCTTTGCCTCCATAATTTGTAAGTTATATCGGTTAACTTACTTGCTCATTGATTTCAAAGTTGACTTCATCACTCCTGCGATTCTCTACTATGACAATCAATCTGTATGACATATTGCAGCTAATGCAACATTTCATGAAAGGACCAAACACATAGAAATTAATTGTCATGTGGTGAGAGAGAAACTCATTGCTAATTTGTTTCATTTGTTGCCAATTCCAAGTTCTGCCCAACTTGCAAATATTCTGACAAAACCTCTTGATCCTCGACCTTTTTTCTATAATTTTGTCCAAGTTGGGAATTTCAAATAATTACACTACAATTTGAGGGGGAGGGGGGTTAATTTATTTTCCTTTATGATCTACTCATAAATGTTTTACAGTTATAACAACTTTTTGGGTTTGTTAGTTTGTTACTTGGGATACAAGTAGCATCTTATGTATATGTAGTTTAAATCAATAAAGAATAAGATAAGCTTAATATGTTTAAATTTACTACTTTCCTTAATCGTTGAATTTAAAGCTATCAGAGATGTCATGTCATTTTGCTGTGACATGCTTTAACATTGTGGTTCCAAACACTTATAGAGATTTAAATTTTAAAATGGTTTTCTATAAGGCGTTATTCATTATAAGACATGATAAAATTGTTATATTTATGTGAGTGCACTTGCATTATCTAATGAAAAAAGGCTTGTTTATAGTCACACAAATGTTTATGTATATGCATATGTACATATGCTTGCAACTTTTCTCTTGTTGAAGACTATATTATCTTTGGTGCAGATGTTTTTTCCTCTTAGGCTAGCAACACATGCTACCTACGATGGAATCAGTGTTATGATTCTCTATTTGTATTGTATAAACTGATAATCTGATCAAACTTTTCACTTATAATGAATAAATTAGTGCATATGTCACTCTTTATCTTGACATTATAAACATGTTCTCTTCCATCTTAAAGATTCTAAGGGAGGCAAACAATTAATCATACTTCTTGAATTTATGTTGACCAAGAATAAGTGAAACTACTTTGCTGCATCGCATCTTAGTGATGTTGTAGTAAGCATTATGCAGATATACAAAGCTTCTCTAGTATTCTTTTTGCAACTGAAAAACAACACTTTTGGTGAAATGGAAATTGGTAGCTTTACAATTGTATTTACGTGTGATATAAGAATATCCTATGGGATATGTTCTTTTAACTTTAAATTTAATATTGTCTCTTTATATATAATACATAGGTTATCATACTTTCACCCTCTTATTACATGTCGAGACTTATGATATCATTGTTGGTGTTATATAAAATATAGATATGAATGCACTACTTTGTGAAGACTTTAGTGCTAAGCAGAAATTTTTATGTTAATTGTATATGTGTCATGTTTGAGCTATATATGTGTCATGTATTAACCTCATAAATCCAACAAATAAGTAAAAGAATCATCGTCAAACATTTCATTAAACACCTTCAATGCAATTACAGTGAAATAGTTGGATTCGCAAAGATCGAGAACCATGGTGGCAATAGTGCATTGTGAAGGTTGAAATGAGAGGTGAAGGGGTGATTAACAATTTACTATTATGGATCCAAGAAGTTTTGAAAATTTTATAAGTTTGAGGAAGAAAATTCACAAAACATTTATAATGATGAATTTTTCCGATCATAATTTTTTAATAGAATGGAGTTATTTTATTGTTGAGTACTACTACTATATTGTAAGAGAAATAGTTAATCATATATCTCGCCTATGAAGAGATTGGGTATGATGAAATCATCATCAAAATGGATTTAGTATGAATCATGGATACGTAGGACTCTCTTGAAAATGAGTTAATTCACCTAAAATTATCCCACTAAAGAATTGAGTCGATGAAACTCTTCTAATAAGGGATTGAGTATGAATCGCCTACACGTCAGACCTTTTAGAAAAGCATAAGAATTCGAACTTGATATTTCACAGAAAATTTAGCTAAACATTTAGATATTTTTACGATACTCAATATCTTATTTGTCTGAGGTGAGTTGATAAATGTTAAAAAATAAACTATATTTTATTTCTAAAATCAAGCCGAATTTATTTTAGAACACACTTTCATATTCTAAATTAGATAATTATAGTCGTATCATCACACTCCTACAAATTTTATGTTTGGGGGACGGTAGATAGGGGTGTGCATAGTTACCAAATTTTAAGAACCAATCTATTTTAATGGTTCTAGTTTTAAAATTAAACCATTTTTTATAATAACCAATTTAAAATTGCAAAATGGTTTCAATTCGGTTCAAAACCGGTTTAAATCGGTTTTCAATCAAAATTGATTTATAAGGAAATTGTATCTTTCTTAATTTGAAGAGACGAAAAAAATTCAGGTTAATGAAGGGAACAAGATGCAAAGGCATGTGTCATTTTTATACTATTATATTCAAACACCAGCACAAATCGTTTTTCATAATTTTTTTGAAAAGCAAAAAAGTAAAATTTAATTTAAGAGTAAAAACATTACACTTTAATCTATGATAAAGTTGCACCATAACACTAAAACTAGAGCCCAAAAAAACTAAAACAAAACATCCTAAAACCAAAACAAAATTTGCTTCAAAACAATTGCTACACTATAACAGTTAAACAAAAAAATACATATTAACAATCGTTCATCACAATTAACTTAATAAGTTCTTCTTCCCTTAACTAATCACCACTCTAATTAACTAATTAATAATAAATAAAATAAAATATATAAATTAGTTTTCCATTTTCAATTTGAATATTATATAAATTGGTTTACCCGAATTTGAATTTATCTTGCCTTAATAATATCTTCTTCATTAATAATAATATCATATACATTTGGTTTTATGTATGACAACTGATTATCAAAAATGAAAATCAGATTTTTGTTTTGATATCAAAATTGATCTGGAGCGGTTTACATCTAACACAAATTGGATTATAAAAATTGGTGCACTAAATTTTTAAAATTGGTTCGTATAAACTTTTTTTTTTTTGCACACCCCTAACATAGACAGTCATAACTTTAATGAATAATTAATGTTAAATAAAGATCATGTTAAACATGCCTTTTACTTGATAAATGACATAGAAATCTCAGACCCACCATGAAGAGCGTAGTTGGAAGTTAGCCATAGTGTGGCTCCTACATGATAGCAAGATGTATACTTTACCATCTCCACAAATTCCACTAAAAAGATCTCTCTAAAATACCGTAGAATTAGATAACTTAAAGTTCTAACGAGGACAAACTTATAGTGGGAAGTCAAATTACCAAGTAAAATTATGATAGTCTACAATATCATAGTGGAAGCTGAATTATTGATTTAAGATAATCAAAGCATGCCTCATAGTTGCCAAAAGTCACATCAATTCACAATTCATAATTCCCTAAAGTGTAAAAAACCATGTGCCATATCCTAACTATTTTTGGCCGCATTTATATCTAATCTATATTCTTCATCAAATTGCAATGTGTTGAGTTTAATTTTAATCACAAAAACTACAGCTGTCTTTAGCTGGTTCAAGAAATAATAATAATAGTGTTACAAGTGACCATACAAATAGCATGATAACAATAAAATGAAACTAAAGTGCTAAACAGGTAGACATTTCATCTCTGATAATCGTGACTACTGATGTGGCGGCACACACAAATTGGAAATCCCACACACACCATCATTATCATTTTTCCACCAAACGTGATTACATATTATACGCATCTTCCTTTACCCCTAATCCATCACAAAATGATTGCGAACCATGTCTCTTTCTCTGCTTTCTTTGTTTCCCTTTATTTAGAAAATTAAATCACATTTACTAAATATAATTAAGAGAATTATAATTAATTAATTTTAAAAAATTAACATCAGTCGCCGTGGATTATCTTAAAAATAAGTTGTGGCACGAAACACTAGTTGTAAGCAGTAACTGAAAAGTGTATAAAAACCGTTACAGAGCCCGAGCCACTGGCGCGTCGTAACAAACACTCATTCTCTCTTTCAATTTCAATCTTGATTTTGGATATGTGCGTTGTACAAACACTGTGTTCACCGTGCGGTGGTGGATTGTTCCAGAACATTGAATGCGGCACTTCGTCGGAGAAGTTACGATTTGTTAAGTTTCACCATGGATTCAATGCCGTTGGATTAGGCCGCTGTCGTGAAAGCCGGTTGAAACCGATCACGGCGAAGGATGGGCGTGAATCGTCTCTTGCCGGTGACGGCGACGGTAACAGTAACGGTAACGGTAATGGTCCTCTTAAGTACAAGGGGATTTCTGTGAATACACGGAACTGCGTCAAAAATGAACCTGATCCATCTTTCACTAATCACTATGCTGGTATTACATTTGTTTATTTATATTTTTATTGTTTGCTCTTAACTTTTGTGATTTTATCTAATGTCATGCATTCTACGGAACACTGAATCAAAATTATGCGATGAATCGTGTTATGGATATTCCTAATTTTTAAAATAAACTTGTTTAAGATTCTCTGCTTCAGAGCCGTTGGATTCAATTCAAATGCAATTTTGAATCTAGATCTAAGCAATATGATAACTATGTTATTTAAAGAGGGATAATTCAAATCTTTAATCCAGTTACCATCTAGCTAGGTAAAAATGTGTGTGGTTTGCCGACAAATGGGAATTCGACGAACATTTTGTGGCATGAATGTCCAATCCAGAAGCTTGATAGACAGCAAATACTTCAACAAAAAGGCTGTGTCATTTGGATAACTGGTCTCAGTGGTTCAGGTTTGTGAAATTTTGTTTTCTTTTAGACAGAAGTTGTTTCTTTGTGTTCCATGTAGTATCAAATGCATTCATGATTCAATTCCTGATTTAATTTGATTTGTATTTCTTCCATTTGATGTTTTTGACATTGGTTTAAGGAAAAAGTACGATTGCATGCGCTTTGAGTAGAATCTTGCACTCGAGAGGAAAGTTAACTTATATCCTTGACGGTGACAATATTCGACATGGTCTAAACCGTGATCTTAGTTTTAGAGCAGAAGATCGCTCTGAGAACATTAGGAGGATAGGTGAGTTACTGCACATTTCTCTTAATCTATCTTGCACCTCTTTTGCTATATAATTTGAGCAGTCTAACGTCATGAATGATGTTTCAGGTGAAGTAGCAAAACTCTTGGCAGATGCCGGAGTTATTTGCATTACCAGTTTAATATCACCATACCAAAAGGATCGGGATGCTTGCAGGGCTCTACTACCCAGAGGAGATTTTATTGAGGTACATTTTTATTGAGGTGAACCAAATTATGCAGGTAGTTTGGCATCTTCTAAATGCTGATAATAGTGAACACTACGATAAATGAACAAGACAAGATGTTCTTCATTGCCTATGCTGTCTTACATCTCTCAACCCATACATGTTGTAGGTTTTCTTAGATGTGCCACTAGCTGTGTGTGAAGAAAGAGACCCAAAGGGATTATACAAGCTTGCTCGAGCTGGACTGATCAAAGGTATCTTAATTTAGATTCTTTTTATTTGCATCACGGCTTTATTTATGTGGAGTTTTTCAGGTGCTATGTTTAACAAATTAAGTTTATACTAAGTTGTTATTTATCTATTTTAGCTTTCAGCAGCTTTATAAAATTGTGCTTATTTATCTTTTTAGTGCACATTGATTTGTGCATCAGTATTGAATTGTCTTTTTGGAAATTTGTAGGTTTCACAGGGATAGATGATCCATATGAACCCCCATGTAGTTGTGAGGTTTGTATTTGTTACCCCTAACTTTGAAATGAAAACTTGACCTTATAAATGAGATGTAGAGTGATCCAATTCTGCTTTTCCTTGGATCAAACCTCTGCTAAAATTTTATCAAGTGTGTGTTGGGAAACATGGTCAATGACCGCTACCGCATGTTCATGAGCTTCTCACAGTGATTTTCTAAAGCTACTATTGGTAGCTTTTCCAACCCGTGCGGTGGTACCATAATTTTTAAAGATTTCCAATCATATGCTTTTCATACTCTTGCAGATAGTACTGCAGCAGATAAAAGGAAGTGATTGTATGTCTCCAAATAATGCAGCCGAAAAAGTAATATCCTACATGGAGAAAAATGGGTATTTGCGGGCCTGACTATGTCTGAATGGCTTATTTCTTGTTTTTATAGGTGTATGTTGTATGTAACACATTCTGGGGCACATAAAATACTGTTTCTCCAAGTAGCAAGGAAATCATTGTTCACTATGCATCTAATTCCATCCAAGGCACATACATCCATATTGTATTTATGTCTTCATTATATAGACATCAGTAAGTGGGGTGGATCAGTGAGGAAGGAGTTGGTCTTGATTGGTAAGATGATGTAAGAAAAATAAAACAAGAACTATGTGTATATTATCCTTTTCTTTTGGCAAACAAACAAATGTCTATTGTGGGAATGTGCAGTGTCAGTACAGGTGAAAATTTGTTTGGTATCCAATGTAACATCTATCCACAACTAGTCACCGGAAATACTAGGTATTGGAGTCATTTTATTTGACAATTCTGCTCAAATACTCGATGCTGGTGTGCTTATATAACCATGAGTGACGGGTAAATTAACTAGCAAAAATTTAACTAATTTAAACTTATAAAACACTAGGAATTATGATTTCACTTTAACATTTATTAAATTAATAGCAGCAGTGTCAAAACTAAAGTTATTATAACTTCTACATACATACAAATGATGTAAGTTATTAAACGTGTTGTTAATGATGAATATTCCCATTTCAGAACTATAAAAATTCAAAGAAAAAGATAGAAAAAAAGTGATAGGTTTGTCTTTAACTTGCTTTGTCGCCATGGTCATGTTGCCTTCTATTCAACCTCAATTCTCATACCTGTAATTTAACAACATTAATTCAATTATATGGCAAGTCCTTCTTTCCTGTTGACTCTAGAAAGAGTCACTTAAAATTGTTCAGGACTAAATACATCTTTTTTGTAAGTATAACCCAATTAGCAAAGGGAGAGTTTATAATTTAAGCAAGAAGAAAGATGAGGCGAATAATAACTTGATTGCTGGTATGTGTCTCATAAATCAATCATTTGTTTTAGGATTGTTTGATTGTGTTAGATGTTTTAGATTAGAATTGTCTTCACTAAATCCTCCAATGTTAGTGACCAAAACCACTGATGGCAGTATTCTATACAAGTGTGTTAGACTTTTTGGATTAGAATTGTCTCCAGTAAATCCTCTGAAGTTAATGACCACAACCACTGATGGCAGTATTATAGCAGAATTAGTTTGTGAGAATTGTCATGTCACTGTCTCCGACGAGACATATTACATAGACCTCATATGCATGCATTTAAAAAAATTAGATGTCATCTTATGCATGGATTGTCTCTCTGCCAAATCTTTTAAAAAAATTAGATGTCATCTTATGCATGGATTGTCTCTCTGCCAAATCTGTGTACATTGGATGTGCAGTGAAAAGCATTTACATACCCACAAGAATACACCTGAAGGAATAACTCTTTCCTTCTTGATAAGCAATGTCCACCAAATGATCCAATGTTTATATTCTAAAGCTAAACTCTTCTATCTAATACTTACGGTGGAAGCAGAATCATAAATTAACCCTAATGATATTTCAATTATGAATGAGTATCAAAGATGTTTTTCTAAATGACATCATAACTTTGCCACCTGAGAGAGAAATTAAGTTCTCGATTGACTTGATTCCAGGAGTCCAACTGTAATACGGTGGGAGAACTGACTTGGGTGTTTTGCGTTTTATCGCAATTGTTGCGGATAGCAAGAGTCGCCACCGACTTTTCTTTTATCCAATAAAGGAAATGGTGAAAAGAACCGGAAATATTTTTTGAGAATTTTCTTGAGTTCGGGGGTAGGTTATAAAAATGGAAGGTGTTAGCACCCTTTTCATCTGTAGTTATCTACGGGCTTTTAGTTGATAGCTCACTTTGAAATGCTTTGTTTGAAATGTGTTTGTGATTGGTTTTGAAAGTATTTTTGAAAGTGCATTCATTTAGGCGAACTTTGTAATGATTCTCGTCTCTATAAAAATGCATACAAAGTGTTGACTTTTGAAAATATTTCATTTGAAAGTGTTGGTGTATTTGAAAGATGTTTTGAAAATGGTTGTGAGCAAGAAACTATGAACGTTCTACCTACTCAAAAAGTCTTTGTTCGTTTCATCCTCCTTTAGATATAGTTATCTTACCATTGATTGATAAGAAGCCCTATCATTGGATGTGAAGAGACGGGCGTGGGTCGTCGTATAGTTATAGAAGGCAACATTGTAGGATACCTTAACAATTTGTCGTAAGGGTCTAAGATCGTTTATCGAAGGCAACATTGAAGGATCATCGAGAGACTACGATCTTGTATTCGAGGGTCATTGCTAAAGTATCCCACGTTCGAGGGACATGACTATTTTTATCCGAGGCGACAAGTGTGGGTTACCCTAGAGGTGCGTGTGTGCGGGTGTATTGATTTCATTCATTTTTGTCTTGAATTAGAGTTGTCTACTTATTGATTTTAAGTCTTGTCATACATACCCTAATTACTAGCAATAATATTGAAAGCGATAAATTGTGGAATTTTAAAGTTCTACGCTATTACATCTTTTTTTGGAGATGGGGATACAAGTTTATGAATGGGAGATGAAAGCAATAAAGTTCTAATTATAATATTACAACCATACTGAATATTGAATGACAATAAAAATATAAAGAAATATAAAGATAATGTAAAAAAAAAAAAAATTGGTTTAAGAAAACTTTTATGTATTGACACATGAGCTTATGCATTGATACGAAAATTTTATGTATTGACGCATGCATTGGCTCATATTTGTTTTGTATTGGCTCATATCATCTCTTTGCCCATGGAAATCAAATCAAATCAGTATGAGTCAACACATAAGAGTTTTGTATCAACTCATACTGCTTTGTATCGACACATACGCGTTTTGTATCGACTTATAACTTGTTTTATACATAATATGTATCGACTCATAGTGTTTCGTATTGACTCATACTGTTGTTTTTGCTTTTATCATTGTTCTGCTACATGTAAAAGTCGGTTCTCAACACATGGTTAGTGAAAATGAAAATCAAGCAAATGGTTAACTTCAAGGCAATGGTATCTATATTTTATCTTCACAAATGAACCGTTAATGATGCTTTCTATGAAGAGTTCAAAGTCAAGAAAACTTACCTTGAAACTAAATTTTGTGCTTTGAGTTTGAGTTGGAGAAGTCAAGTTGCAGGTGGTTGTTTTTGAGTTTGGAAAATAGTGATGTTACAGAAGTTGTTCTTGAGTTTGGACAACTTCTATATGATGTAAGTGGAGTGTTTGGATGGTTTGTTTGGACAGAACTTGCAAGGTGTGAGAGGTTCAAAGGGTTTGGACTTCAAAGCTCGAAGATGGAGGTTTTTATGGACAGTTCTGGTTTTTAGAGTAAATATGGGTTTGAGGGCTTTCAACACACAAGAAGGTCTCTATTTTTCTGACCTCTTTCTCTTGCAAATGCTCCCTCTATTTATAGGCAAAAGGTTTGTGAACAAGGGCTGATTAGGTTTATAAGACAGCATGTTATAGTTTGGTTAGGATACAAATATCAAACTATGTCAATTCTCCATAGTCCCAAGATGAAGTACTAAAGTTGTTGGTATAGATGGGCTACTTTCCATGATTTATGGTGGAGTAAAATCAGAAGTAAACAAAGTATGGGCTCAAGACAAGTTTTGTGCCAACAAGCTTGCTTTTCAAGAATAATGATGGTGTCTTTATGCCATAAATGGAAATATTTGTTGGACAAAGGCTCAAACACTTGGGTAATAGCTCAAGAGTAGGTGTAAGCATTAAATTATGGTGAGATTGACAAGTTAGTGGGTCTGCAACACAAGATTAGGCAGCATAGCATAAGGATTTTGCTATTTGTTCTTCAACAAAAAGACTTGCAATTCAAGGATGGATGTCCAACTTTATACTCTTGAATCTCCTAGCTCAAGTATGATAAATTCATGTTCTTAGATGTTTTAGAAAGCTTGAAACATCCTCTATAACTTTCATGTTGACCATTTTGAGAAAATCATCTTGGAACTATATGAAAAAATGCTAAGAAGTTGGGATAAAATCCTGACCAAAATTTGTTGAAAATTTCTCTAAGTGTTGGATAACAATGTTTTGACTTCATGGATTCATATCTTCAAATCTAAGAATTTTTTAGACATCAACCCTCTAATACAAAGTTGTATAATTCATCAAGATCTATAACTTTCATGTTGAAAGTTTTCTTTGAATCATCTTACATCTTTGTGAAAGAATGTCATGAAGTTATGAGATTATCATGTATGAAAACACTTAGAAAAATTTCTAAGTCTTGGAAAGTTTGACTTTTCAAATTGACTTTTGACTTTCTTGATTTCTTGATAATCGAGTTTCATATTTTTGAATATCTTAATGAATTTTGATCTTTGAGATTTAATGTTGACCAAAAAGTCAAAGTTTGACTTTTGGCGTATCAGTTGACTGTTTGTTAGTACAGTTGATTTTTGGTCGTCTTGTCAATTAACTGAGCAGGATTTGTGATACAAGACTTGAAACTTGACATGAGCATTCTTGAAGGTCCATAATGATCCATGAAAGTCAATTGAAGGATTAGAAATCCAATTGTCCTTGTGAGAACTCAAACCCTAATTTTGAGGTATTAGTGTTGAGGAGATGGCTTGACCTAGTCAATACTTGTGCAAGCTTGAGCTTTTCAAGATCTTTGTGAGAAATGTCTTGAGAAAAAAGAGGGAAAATTTTAGGGTACAACAGTTTCCCCTGTTTAATCTTCTTAAACCTGAAGAGTTAGATTGGCGAGTTTGTCATTCGTGACTTGAAGTTGGAAGATGATTGAACACTAAAGTGCCCAGAAATTTGCACTCGACTATGTGTTAGTTGATTGTGTCGAGAATAGGCTTAAAGATATAATTTGGAGAAGTGATGAAGATTTTGTCGGAGATGGGCTTACAGATGCCATCTAGAGTGACTGTCGAGGGAGAAGTATCGGAATAAATTTTTGGTCGATTTATACTAAAATTGTAGATGTCTTTTGCCTATTTTTAACCGGAAGAGATAAATCTAAACCAGAAGAGGTATTTGCTTGGTGACTTCATTGGGGAAATTATTCTAACCAGAAGAGGTCTGTTGATTGTCTATCATTAACTGAAAGAAGTGAATCTAACCAGAAGAGGTCTTTGTTTGCCTGTTGTTGTACCCCAAAATTTGCCCTCGTATTTTTCCACAAGAAATCACAGCTTCGGGCTTTTCCTGATTTTTTCAGACTGGCTCAAGAATCGGTCAAAC